ATGAGTAGGTTATTTGAAATTCAATATTTAATCGCAAAAGATTCTTTCTCAAGTTAATGTTATTAAATTTGTTACTAAGAGTTGGTCTACAATTGGTAGAAACATTTGGTAGAATTTATAGAATATTGTATATATAATATACATGTATATTATATATACAATATTCTATAAATTCTACCAAATGTTTGGCGTTAATATATATATATATATATATATATATGTGTGTGTGTGTGTGTGTGTGTGTGTGTGTGTTCGTGAAAATATCTGAAAGACTCTGTTTTCATGCATCTAAATGTTAAAATTGGTCGTCATCTTCAACTTCCACGTTGTCAACCTCCCACAACTTTCATTTTTTTAAACTTGCATCTTTTTTAAATGTGCATCAGAGAAGGAAGCTAATTTGATCCCAAAATAGTTGTTTCCATCTCAAAATTTATTTATAAGCAAGCATTAACATCAGACGATATTTGATGATTGTCATATGAAACTGGCATCTCAGTTTATTCATCACATAAGTGCACTGAATGAATGAAGTTGGTGTTCCACATTCATGAACGACATTTCTTTTTCCTATCTCTCCTCATTTTTTTTCCACTTGTAAAAATAACAACACACTTACTGATGCATCTATCTACTCTGCATTTAACGATGCAGACAAGGAATAATCAAAGAACAACTTCAATTTACTTCGTTAAATGTTTAAATAATTTTGATTTATATAAAAAAAATCTACAAAAAATAGTTCTTATCAAAATGCATTTATTTTAATGATTCGTACATGCTTATAATACAACCTCCAAGTGAATATGTAAATGAAGGAAAAATTAAATATACGAATCAATTAATGAATGAGTGAGTGAGTGAATAAATAAATGAATGAACGAATAATGATTTATTGATTGAATACAATAGTTGCGTCTAGCAAAGATCTTTGCACAATAACCATGATAACAATGAGCTCTTTGAGTAAGTTTGCGTCTATGAGTCTAATTCAAACCCGCACAGTAGAGTTTTACTCAAGTACATTTTGGTACACGTTCAACTGTGTCGAATTTTCATAAATTGAGCCATCAGCCACAATTTAGACTAAGTTAAAAATTTATTTAGCTGACCAGAGCATTTTTTTGAGCACTTCTTTAGTTTTTATGTCATCTATAAATGAGTAAATCAAAATATATGTTAAATGATTTTAAAAAAATGTATTCAATTAAAAGTAGCGTTGCATTTCATTTCAATTTGGTGCAGAAAAAACTTCGTGATTTTTGCAAAATACATTTATTTACTATTATAATTTTTTCATTCAAGACTTCTACTGAATAATTAATTTAATCACAAACAATCAAAATGACACATAAGTGATCAAGTAGGCAGTACTTCAGTACTTCCATGCCATAAGATGAAACATTGCCTGATTGGTCGTTTTAAAACTTTGCCAGCATGTTTGAAGATGTTTTGTGATTGAATTCAACAAAACCCAACGCACATCATTTAGGCACATCATTATGAAGCACAAGCAAATTAATAAATCTCAACTTAAACCCAACATCTCAATGCAAAAATTGAAGCTGTCCAAGTCTTAAACGCATTGAATTTTGACGTTAAATCTGAAATTTATAATTTTTTTTACAGAAATTTGTACATCTTAAAAATCATTATGACAATAATGCCCAAAATAAATGCAAGTAACTAGCGGCACCAACAATCACAAAACAATTCAAAACAGAATAAAAAAATCCTTTCTAACACATCCTTATCAGTTTTATAACGTAAACAAAAACAAACTTTCTTGGAATATAAAACTAAAGTTCAGCTGGAAAAAATTTGCAACAAAAAATAGGACATCCACTTTAAAAATTCCAAACAGTTCTGAAACGTTGTACTTAAGTTTAAAATGATATTTGTTTATGTAATATTTTATTGCTTTTTTTAGAATGCTGGTGAAAATTTGTAGTAATAGCCAGCTTTTTTTATGTTCCTCTCTCCCTTTCTCTCTCTTTCTCTCTCTCCTTTCTCTCTCTCTCTCTTTCTCTCTCTCTCTCTTTCTCTCTCTCTCTTTTTCTACGTAAACCGAAAAAAATCAAAAACTTAAAAAAACCGTTTTGTGTTATGCTATGAAGATAGAAAATGTTATTTATAATGCTAGACAGGAACTGAGTAGTACAAACGCACAACTATTTACTTGCCTAACCATTATCCACTTCCCACTTCTCATTTATCAATTTTAATTTGAATTAAATTTTGTATGCAGCTGATAACTATATTCCTGTGTCAATAAAACAGATTCAATCACAAACATCTTTCATTAATTTAAATTTAATCAATGAACTAAATTATATATTGAATTATATTTCATCTAAATCGTCATGAAATGCTGTTATCTTAATTTCTGCTTTTGATAATTCATTGCTAATAATCATTACATTATCGTGATATCTGGTGTTTTTAAAATTATATGCTAATTTTTATTGCAACTTATTGCCAGTAACATTTACCATCTACTTCTTTTATCATTTTAATTGTGTCAATCTAGGAATCTATCATGCTTTTGTAACAAACAAATAAATTGTTCTCTGATGCATACACCGTTCACACGTACACACACACGCACACACACACACACAAACAAACACACGCGAACATACACAACTCTGACTTTTGAAGACTTCAGCAGAGTTTGCTGCAGAGCAAGTCGTAACAACAATCGACTTCTATTTAATGTTCAATTTTCATAATTCTAACACATGCACGATTCAACCAATTAGAAGTAGCAATAAATATGATATTCGCATTGACGATCATCATTAACTGGTAGACTATAAAATTTATTTTGTTTGAGTGTGTGTGGTTTGGTGTAATGTTTTTTGTTTATGTGTTGTTGTTGGGTGGGTGCATGTTTTGTTTTGTTTGATTGAGGTTTGTTTATCGTGCTGTGGTTTATTTTGAATTATTTCAGCACAACAAGCGCACGCATCACAATCCTTTCCGTGTAGGGGCACCCTTATTCCAAACCATGCAATGAAAAACTAAATAAAAGCGTATATACACGTTATTCTCCTATTGGTGTGTTTTAAAAGTTTTGCCGAGAATTTAGTGGCAAATAAATCAAATAAATTTATTAATCTAATATTATTAATGATTATTATTATCAAATTATGCGAAATTAAATGATATAATAATCACCCTAATCTACGATGCTCATCAATAATTAAAAAGAGTACAACTAGATAGAGTTAGTCCTAAAATTGATTCAAATGACATTTCTGTCACAATATAAGGAATATGTTGATGATATTGCTTAATGAGACTGTTACAGAATTTATCACACCACAAAACATTGTATAATAATAATAATAATAATAATAATAATAATAATAATAATAATAATAATAATAATAACGACAACGACGAAGATGATTCCAACAACGACTCTAACAGATACGATACAGTTACTTGCTCATGAGTGTTTGTGTTATATGAAAGATGAATGAATGCTGTTCTGTTAGCAAAATTTTTAACCACAGACAATGCTTAGAGTATGCCAGATATTGTTATTGTTGTTATTGTTGTTGTTGTTGTTAATGTGGTTATTTTGTTGTTTGTGAATTTGTTATTGTTGTTGTTTTATTATGTTGTGGTATGTAGGATTAATATTCAACGCTAATTTCTACTCAGTTTATTAGCTATTAATAGGAGATCATTTGTTTGTACGAGCAGTTAGGTAGTTATATATGTTTTTTAATGATTTTTGTATAATTTTTACGACGGAAAATTAACCAGCAGTATTAGTTTTTTTTATCTGGATATATAAATACAGTATTAGCAATGTTGGCAATGATATGTAACATAAACAATTTGAGTAAATTTGCTACACTTCACTTATTAAATTACTGCAACCTGGCAGTTATTTTCAATGTTTAATTGAAGTTTTTGTTAGTTTGAACTTTCCAAACTAATCCATCCATATAATCAACTCTAAATAAAACTATTGAGTAAACACCCAACCGTAGAATCACTTCGATACAACTACGAAACGAATAATTACACAAGAGTCACAAGTAACAAACTTCAAACAGCAGTCTTGATACATCTTAAATACATTTTTTATACTTCTTACTATTTTATAAAACTGGTTGACGATCTGACAAATTGAGGACCAGCTGAAACGTTGTTATCGAATGGAGTTTTGTTCATATCCGGTTGTGATGTCATGTTTGTTATTTACAATCTTTGATCTTTTACAATTTTCAGAGGCTACCACTCATCGGTTTTCTTTCAAGTTATTTTTCATCAGGAATGAATGATGTTGGCACTTCATGAATTACACTCGATTGAAAATGAACGCATTTTTTGGTATTTGTTGTTGATGTTCGTTATTTCCATTTTTTCGATGTTTCAATGTCTTATTTGTTTTATTTTGTTTCGTTTGGTTGATAATTTGTTGCAAATAAAAATTATTGTAGCGCTTTATGCCATTTTCATAATCACATTGCTCAAAGACAACAAAAACTCACAAACATCCGCACTTTTGTTTTGTTGTTGTCAATAAATCATCCGAAGTTATGCGTGCAACACTCGACAGCCTACCTCTGCTGTTCAACATTGTATTGTTACTTACTATGTAACAGAATTTTGAATACTTGTTATTCAATACTGTGTGCATGTACGTATATATGTACGTATGCATGCATGCACGTACGTATGCATGAATGTTTGTGTGTATATATATATATATATATATATATATATATATATATATATATATATATATATACATATAAATGTACGTAGAGAACTCAGAACTGACTGCTTCTTATTAACAGACAGACTCGATCAATTGAAAATTGAAATGTTCAATTGAATCAATAAATGGATTGAAACTTGAACAAATGAATGAGTGACTGACTGACTGACTGACGGACGGACGGACTGATTGAATGGAAGAAGGAAAGAGCAAAAAACAAAGGAAGCATGAATGAATGAAGAAAGAAATGAATTAATGAATGAATATACAACATATAAATGTTGTCTGCAGTGCCATTGTTGACCTGTTTAGTGAGATAAGAACACTCGACTCAATTGAACGCAACGACGTTTGCTGTTAAGAAGCATTTCGCAATGTTGTTAACATTTAGTACCATCTCAACGCCAGCACTGACATGTTACGTTCAATTATAATAATATTAATATTAATTATCGTATGATGATAATAATAATAATAATAATCTACTATTATTGTTATTGTTATTGCTGTCGTTTTTAAAATCAATCATCATATTTCCTATAAAGTTAACCAACTATTAGATGGTTTCCTCATCGCCATATCATTGCGCCGTCTTCATCACATTGCCATCATCGTCGTCATCATTGTCATCGCCGTAGTCATCATCGTCACTATCAATATATAGTTAGTTTGTGTTAAACAAAAAAATATGCGCAAATGAATTGTTTGCCATGCTTGCAGCCCGCAACGAAATAAATTTTTATTGACTACAATTTGAAGAAGAATGCATCAGTTGGGCAACTGACGTAACTTATCCAATTCAAATCAATTCAAAAACGTCCACCGGTTAAGCAAACTTTTGACACTTCCAGTCAGACTTGCTAAACAGACAAATATTTCCGCACAATGCTGTTATGCTATGAACAATAGCAAAATGTTATAAATGTTTAAAAATTAATTTGACTAAAATTTAAAAAAACAAACAAATACACCCAGGATCGCTATCCTCGCTAACGATACACACGCACTGTTGCGAGGTAGGCAAGCAGTGGTTCCGTCACAGTGGGGGCACATGTTCAGCTCACCCCCTCTTCGACACCTCCAACGACCAGCACAACACCTGCCTGGTCTCCATTGACATCTGCTGCCTCGCCGAACTGAGGAAACAGAAATGTCTTTTAGGCAGGAAGAAGGCCTTGTCTGGAGAGCCATGCCGTGCCATGCACGAAGATTCCAATGTTCGGTTTAACTTTTATCAAAAAATTTCTTTATTTCATCATTTTCTGATTAGTTGTTAGTTTGTAGTATTGGCGTTATTGTTATTTGTGCAAATACTCAATTAAATTAAAGACAAACAAATGTAAAATCATTTAAGCTTGCTAATGGTCCATTTCATAGGATTGGTAGAAACAACATTTACAAACGTAATAAAACTACTAATTTTCGTTTGTTTGGTGAAGTGTGTCTCGGCTGAAGTGTTGTTTTCATTAACTTCATGAAGTAGCAAGGTATTGTCGCGTCGTTCTTCAACAACGAAATCACTACTTGGAATGAATTTCTATTGGAAGACATCAATATAACTGATGCTATTGAGATCCAATTGTTGATGTAACTTTTCATAAAAAACAAAGCTACAAAATTTAATAATGACGATAAGAAGAAGAAAATGAATAATAATAAGAAAAAAAAGAATGATGATGACAACGACGACGATAATGATAATGATGATGATGGAGCGATGATGATGATGATGGAACGATGATGATGATGATGGAGCGATGATGATGATGATGGAGCGATGATGATGATGATGGAGCGATGATGATGATGATGGAGCGATGATGACTCCACATGTAATACGAACCGAAATTGGGCGAACTGTTAGAAGAGTGAAAATATAAATAAAATCATCAGATGTTCTGCATAATTGATTAGATTATGTCCTAATTTTTAATTGAAAATTTTTAAACAATCAAATTTGTTGTTTAACTTGAATTGTAAATGTTTTGTGTGAGTTGAGATAACTCACGATTTCATCAACTGCTTTTGTTGTACATGTATCTTTATACATATCTTGAAAAAAGATCTGTAAACCAGCAATAACAAAAATACTAAACAAAAATTTAAGAAATCGATTTAAAAAACATTATTGATTAAAATAAAATCAAATATGAATCAAATAAAACAAATAATGGACAGTAAGAATTTTAAACGTATTACGGAACAGGAATGTTGCAACTGCTGTAGCTTGGGATTGAAGTCCCGAGAGACTAGGAACTCCTGCCCGAAGCTTCCACGCACGAAACTCTTCACGTGCCAGTGCAGGGAATCCTACATCAGATGCTGCAACTATGGACTCCAAAACAAAACGAAAGTCCTGGAAAGGTCCAAATATGACATCGCTGGTAAGGGTCTTCTCATACTTACCTACTTCTTATGAACCATATGTTTAAGCTTACATGTTTAATAACACATGCAATTAATTTTCTAAATTTTTCAATTATTTTGAACATTAAAAAAATTGTTTCTTATTAAAAAAAAAATTATAAGCTCAAGATGAGCTGAAAACCATCTGCTAATTTTTTAAAATAAAAAGGATGGTTGTGTTTAATGGCTGGTTGATTGATTCAGCATTTGATTAATGGATAAGACAATTGGCATTAACTTTTTCTAAACAAAAATTTCAATAAATTTTATCCAAATAATGAACAACAATCAGTTTGGAAAGTGAAAAATGAAAAATTAACTATCACCATGTCAAATAATCCGCTGAGTATTTTAAAAAATATTTTAAGAAGAAAAAATTTTAGAAATTTGAAATATAAATAATGCAACAAGCAAAGACATACACACACACACAAACACAAACAATTACAAACACACACACAAACACACATAAACACACGCCCAAAAATACAAACAAAATAAACATTTCATGTGCTACATGTAAACGATGCTCGAATAACCAGCAACATCCATTGAAAGAAGCACTGCCAAACACACTTGTGCATTCCGGTTGCAAAACAAGAAGTCAGTTTATAGGAGCAAAAAAAATTGAAACGTGGTTCTGTTCTGTTCTATTAAGTGTCATATTATCTATCATCTGCCAACTCATCAGACGCTCGTAAATTGTACCTAAATGGCATTTAATATAAAATAATTACGATTTTCTAGAAAGTTCTTTTGAGTTGTGTGCGTGTGTGCTGGTGGTAATATGGTGTGTGGATGTGTAATATATAAAAAGAATCTTAATATACGTGTAATTATAAAAAGAAATTTCGCTTTCAATTTTTCGATAATAATTGTTTGCAACATCAGTGTTTTAATCATTCAAACTTTTAGCTTTTATCTTCATCTTCATTGTGTGATACAATGCGGTGCTTTTTACTATCTGCTTTAAACTCTTACATACATATTTTCCACTGACGTCCACACCATAATCATCGTGTCATCATCATTCATCACGTCATCACCGTCAACATCATTTTAATTAAGATCCCTGCCTAACAAGCCAACACAACTGCACTTGGAAGGAACGATGTTTGTTCAAGAAGAGTTCAAAGACATTCATCTGCCTGCCCATCGCATCGGATGCCAACAAGCAGCTGAACATGGATGGGACGAATGTCGTAACGAGCAGCCAGAAAGGAAAGCACAAAAAACATCCACACCACCACAAATCATCTTCAAACAACAACAACTTGAGAGCTGGTGCTAACGATGTCACCGTTGCTGGTGAACTCGAAATCAGCAAATCTCTTGATCACTCGGCAACGAACAAGAGAGCTCGCGGTAATGAAGGTGAGAAAAGGTGGAGCCGATCTTCTAAACATCAAGCAGCCTGCAGGGCTGGCTTCCAATTCAATGAAGATACTTCAACGTGTCAAGGTGAGTTGTTGTCTGGCTGCATTTAGTTGGTGCATTTCCGTACTCAATGATTTTCAAATACTGAGACTAAGTAATTTTTTATTATACCTATGCAGTAAACTGTGGGCAATTAATTAAGGTTACAAAAAATTTAACGCTATGTTAACAAAAGCATTAACATCATTTAAACGTCATCAGCACCTCATCTCCCAGACACATAACTTAAACATAACATAACTAGCGACACACCAGCCACAGAATTCTAATAACCTTCCTACTTTCTAACAATTAAGATATCAACGAGTGCCTGTCTCACATCAACCCATGCAAAGAAAGGAGCATGTGCCTGAACACTGAAGGAAGTTACGAATGCCTTTCCAGCATGGTCCACGACTCCTCCTCCATCGACCTCCGACACGTGAGTCTGCATAACAAAGGTCAACACGATTCGCGGTATGATATTCAGGTTGATAACGAAGAACAATTTTTAAAGAAAAAAAATAAAGTTCTCCAAAAACACGAACACGATGATCGTTACGACAGCAACGGTCACTACTACAACAATGGCGTCGTTAATGACGACCACAACTCAATAGCAGCATCGTCGTCGTCGTTGTCACCATCGGCTGCAGCAACTACACCAAATTATATTAATGTTCATCTCTACGGCAAAGAACATTTTAATCTCAACAACTACGAAAATGATAAAAATGATGAAGTCGTTGTGGAGAAAGATGGCGAGAAGTTGAATGCGTGCGGAAGTGGGTTCGTATGGAGCGAATCAAGTGGGCGCTGCCAAGGTTCGCTTGATGTTTCACTTTTCATCAGTTTTGTAATTAGTCATATTTTATAAAATCATTTCAGTGTTTGTTGTACTAATTTCTGTTGTATATCGCTCTTTATACGTTACTAATTACAGCTATCATTTTCACCCAACAAACATCATTCGCTCATTTATGTGACATCAACGCACGTTCCATCCGCTGAACTCCGTAATTTTTGTGTGCTTGCCTCTTATTCGTCTTCTAGCAAAAGATTTCATCATCGTGCAAAATTTATAAAGTTATTATTGTTATCATCATTATTATCTCGCATCATCATCATCATCATCATCATCTTAAACATCATCATCATCATCTTAAAACCTCATCATCGTTATCATCATTAGCATCTTGCGTCGTCATCGTCGTCATCATTTTATATTCTCATCATCGTTATCATCATCATCACCGGTATCCTCATCATCATCATTGGTATCCTCATCATCATCATTGTCATCATCATCATTATTATCAACATCATCATCATCATCATCATCTTGCGTAATTTTTCCTAATGAAAATCTTCTGCAGACGTAGATGAATGTGAAACAATAAGATGCCCTTCTCTCCACATGTCGTGCAGGAACAATCCCGGAAGCTACCTGTGTGTCTGCAATGAGGGCTTCAAGTTCAACCCCAGGTCAAGGTCATGTGAAGGTCAGAGGTGATGGTCGCGATGATCGGTGAATGGATGGTTTTGATGGCAGATGAAATATGAGAACAAATATTTTTTGTTAATTTATATATATATTTTTTTAATTTTAAAAATATTTAATTTAATAAAATTTTAACATAACATTAGGTAAGCAAATAGGAAATAATTTAATTCAATTACTCAAACTTTTTTATTGTTATTAGTGTGAACATAAAACCATAGACGAAGGCGTTAACATTGTCAAAGATATTTTTGAATTGAATAGAGAAAATTATTTGAAAAATATAATTTATTTAAGTTAATTAGTTCACACACATCGACAGCAATTAACAAACAATTAGCAACCACCCAGGTACAAAAAAGACACCAATCTTACAACACAGTCAACCAACACAACCAACCAACCAACACAACCAACACAGACACGGACGAGTGTCAGACCGTGACACACAACTGCGAAGCACAGGAAACATGCGTCAACACAGTTGGATCATTCCAATGCACATCAGCCATGCAGCAGTGTGCCAAGGGCTGGCTGTGGGACGATCAACTTCAGCAGTGCACAGGTTAGAAAAGTTCAGTGAAGTTACAATAGCTACCGAAATCAGAAAAAAAAATTTTTAATGGTGAAAAATATTTTTAACAAATACTCAAAAATTGATGTAAAAATTTTTCATTCATATTAGTGGAAAATAGTTTTTTTTATAAATTTTATTTCACAAAAAGAAATAAAATCAGAAGCATCCTTAGCAACGAGTGTTACATTCTAGACTGCTAACATTCCTTCCAACAACCGGCAGATATCAATGAGTGCGAAGCGAGACAGCACAACTGCAAGTCCGACGAGATGTGTCAGAACAGTTTGGGCTCGTTCGTCTGCGTCAGGTACGAATGCGACGCTGGCTTTGAATTCAACGAAGAGAGCAAAGGATGCGATGGTTAGTGTACTTTGTCATTTTTTCGATCATTTGGACAGCAAGTGCTAACAAAAATGCACTGTGCACTGTCAATAATCTCGCATTCACGTATCTTCTTCCACACTTATTCTACAAACTGTTTTGTCGCAAATGTGTCTGCAGTTTTATTTTTGCTTATTGTTTCTGTTAGTTTAGCATGTTGGTGGATGAAGATGATTTTAAATTTCATTTCGATGCACATCTATCCAGCCTCATGTGACGTGAAACTATTATGTGTTGTGCAATGTGCATATGTGTTGAGCTACGTGGCAGTGTACACTGTTACTATCATCATTTCCTTACTTGAAACACTTCCAGATGTTGACGAGTGTGAAGCAGGCAGGCATACTTGCAGTGCCAGACAGACGTGTGTCAACCTGGTAGGATCGTACGTCTGCCGGAATGATTCCGCATGTCCCACCGGGTACTTCCACAGCGTCATTTTGAATATTTGCCAAGGTATTTGGAGCAACATTTCAACGTTTATTGCACTTTTTTTGCTTTATGATCCAACCGTTCATTACAGATTTTACATTTATGAACTGCATAACTAATAATTGCTTTGATGAAACAAAATAAAAGTTTTGAAGCAGTAGTTTTTATAGATATGTGCATACTTTAGTTAATTTCATTAGTGAGAACTTTACATATACATTTCGGAATACGTGAACAGATTTCGACCTGAATCGATTGCACCCAATTTGATCAAGTTCACTTGCTTGTTCGAATGGGATTTGCTTCATTTATTAATTTGTTGCATTAGTTTTTTTGTCAAACAGTTTAAATTCTTAAAAAGCTAAACAGTTAATGCTGTTTTACTATTATTTTTGTCAAAGAGGAGGCGCCTTTGAAAACATTTTGTATTGTTAACTCCTGACGACGTTCTTAACACAACGACATGTATGACACGACATCATGTCGACTGCCACTGCCACCACTGAACGACCACCACCACCACAACGACCACCACCACACCAGATGTGAACGAATGTTCCGACTCCTCTCTGCACAACTGCACCAAGCCGAACATGCTGTGTCAGAACAGAGATGGGGGTTTCACATGCACCTGCCTGGCGGGCTACACTTATCATCAGTACTCGCAGATCTGTGTTGGTTGGTTTCGATGGTGGCGATGAAGATGGTGAAGATGGTGATAAACATGGTGATGATGATGAACATAGTGATGACGATTATGAAGATGATGAGGATGATGATGATGAACATGGCGATGATGATGAGTATGATAATGATCGTTATTATGAAGATACTGGTTGTGATATTGATGATGAATATAGTGATGATGATGATGTTTACGATGATGAAGATGCTTAAATTTGGTTATGAAATAAAAAAAGGTTTGATGTTTGGTTATAATTGTGAGCATCAACTTAATTTTAATGATAATGAAAATGATGATAATGAGGATGATGACCGAAATACTTTTGATAAAAATAACGACACTGATAATGATGAATAATTTGTGGGTGATCGTAACGGTGCTGATAACGAAAGTTGATGTGAAGAAGTAGATGTCGTTCTTTATTTGTCTGTCTGTCTCTCTGTCTCTCTGTTTGTTTGTTTGCGTGTTTGTTTGTTTGTTTGGTTAGTTGGTAGGAGGTAACGATGCGGTTGTTCTTCTTGATATCTTAATGATAGTGCGTTCCTCGTTACAGCCCTGTTCGTTGAAGGACTTGATTATATCAATGAAGCTGTTTAGCGATATTTATAGGAGTGATTATGATGAAGATGACGATGACTATAACGTAACATAATAAGTGCAATGATGAAAATATTCTTAACAACACTCATGCAAACGAATATGTGCATCTTACCTGAGAAGGTTTTAACTCTTCGTCTTCGCATTCATTGCGTTACCACCTGATTCGACTGCGAATAAAGTTCCAAAGCATTGAATTTTGT